GAGCAGGGCAGTGGCAGAGACACAGGCTTCAGTAATGTCAGTAGATGGGGGGCTTGGCCCAGGCATCACTGGGGCCTCAGTGTTCCCAAACTGCAGAGGGAAGGAAGGAACACAAGGTGACATCGGAACCCACTGAGATGCGGCGTCTGATCCTCTAAAGCTGTTCTTGCTGGAACAATGGTAGAACACTTGACTGGCACGTATGAATGAGGTCCTACGTTCAAGTGTAGCAACCAATCAATCAATAAAATCAAGCCGTCCCCTGTTCATGGCTAGTTGTTCCCAACTCCTTGATCTGGTATATGAATAGTAAGTATCATCACCTGAGAAACAGTGTGTGACTCAGACAGCATTGTTTTTTGTTTGATTTGGTTTCATTATCATATGCGACCATCCGGAGTCCTGAGATATATTTAAAAGGTTTGTTTATTTATTTATTTATTTTATGTTTGTAAGTGCTCTATCTGTATATATGACCTTATGCCAGAAGAGGGCATCAGATTCCACTATAAATGGTTGAGGACCACCCTGTGGGTGCTAGGGATTGAACCTAGGACCTCTGGAAGAGCAACCAGTGCCCTTTAACTGCTGAGCCATCTCTCCAGCCCCCAAGTAGACATCTTTACGCCCGCTACGCAGATATGAAAGGGAAAGCACAGAGAGAGGATGGCCCATATCAGGCAGTGCCCTGATCATTGCCTGCGTCCTGGTCTAATGCCAGGTCCTGCACTCTCTCTAGAACCCCACACAGAGTCTGAATCCTCAGTGCTGTGCTGAGGGCAAGGATGGTTTATCTTCTCCGCTTGTGCCTCCTACCCCAAATGCACTCACTAGGTCAGTGAGCCCGGGTAAACGGCATCCTTAGACCTGTGACCGTCCCAGAGTCCGTCCACGCCCTACACCTGTGCTGCCCCAAAGTTCTTTACTCACATTCTCACCTGCCTTCCTGTAAGGCTCAGCTGCCAGTCCTCCCCATGGTTTGAACCATGCATTGGTGCGTGCACGCTTGCATGCGTGCATGCACACCCACGTGCGCAGAGGTCTTCCTACCAGGAACCACCTGTACTGCAGAACGTGGCTGGGCCAGGCATGAACTCAGCAAAGAACAATCTACCCTTCCTCAAGGAAGGCTGGATATGAAAGACTGAGCCTCAGCCAGGCTGGCCCAGAGAGAGGCCAGATGCTCTGTAACTGCTGCTGGTGACTGAGCCTGTGCCCAGCAGGCCTCTGGCATCCAGCGTGAGTGTAACGTCCCTGCTGCTGTCACAGCTGCTCAAACCGAAGACCCGTGCTCTCTGGGCCCTTGAGGAGAGTCACTTTGCCTCCACTTTCTTCTGGCTCCCAGAAGACCCACCAGGAGGTGTCTGGCCACAGGGCGCCCTTCTCTCCAGCCTGCTAGTGTTTCCCTCGTTAGAGAGGCAGAAGGGAGCCAGCTCAGTGGGAAACGTGTCCCTGAAGGTGGAGTTTCAGGCCTTATGCCCGCTGCCACTACTTAGGAGCCTTTATGATCGTGGGCCACCTAACTTGGGAACGCTTTAGTTTTCCCTTCTGTAATAATGGGGATAGAAAAGGCCCCGAGTTAACACAACGGTTCAACTTAGCCTTCTTCAACTTTGCAATGCTGGGTGGTGCACACACAGGCAACAGAAACCACACTTTGGATTTTGGTCTTTTCCTGACCAGTAACTTGCATCCCAGAACTCAGTCACAAATTCTGGGGGGTGATAGTGAACTACAGGTCCAGCCAATGATTTAGCCAAGAGGGAAATACATGGTGTTCTGGGGGCGCTCAGCTGCGTGTGTTAAATTACATGAAACGCTCAGCATTTCTTAATAAAGTGGCCTTGTGTTGGGGGACTTTGCCTGCCTGTAGGTAATGTAAGTGCTCTGGGGACATTTAAGGGAAACTAGGCTTTGTATTCATTGTGTGCATACACATGCGCACACACACACACAATGGATTTGTAGGGATGTGATTCATGGTGGATGCCTTACTATATTTCTATTAAAAAAAAACCCTTATAAAAGCAGTTTAAGGGTGAAGGCACTGATTTTAGCTCATAGTTCAAGAATATAGTTCCATGGTGCTGGAGCCAGAGTGGCGGGAGCCATGGGCAATGGTCGTGCCATGTCCACAAACAGGAACAGAGAGTGACAAACGCAAGATGCTGTCCAGCTCCATTTATCCAGTTACACAGCTCAGGATACCAGGCAGGGAATGGTGCCAGCCAGAGTGGGTGGGTCTGCTCACCTCAGAGTAATCCAGATGACCCCCAGAGGCCCATCTTCTAAGCGATCCTAAAGCCTATCAAGTTGGCAGTGAACTCTGACCATCCCAGTAGGTCAGAGAACATCTGTGATGGAAACACCCCCTCCTCGGGGCTGGAGGAAAATGAGTGTAACGCAGGAGCCAGAGTTAGCACAGGGAGAATCCTAAAGAAGTGGAAGGGGAGTATGGACGATAGTGGAGCACAGCTCTTCGCCGGGGAGAGAAGGGGAGGAATAAGCTGGGTTAGAAGCTGAGCGTTTGCCATTTGAAGAGCTCAGACTCCAAGGGCTGGTGTGCCAAGGTGGGAAGGGGTGCCCAAGTCTGCAGCACTCGGAGGCTGGAAACGGGGAGAGGGAGGCACACTGGGCAGATGCTCCTCGTCACTTTGTGAGTGGAACTTTCAAGTATTCCAGACAACTTGCCTCAGCCTTCTGGGCGTTGAGCTTACAGGAGTACCACTGTGCCTGGCTTAAATGTTCACGCAGTGCCCAAGGAGGCCAGGGAAGGTACTGGAGTTACAGGCTTGTGAACCAACATGTAGGGGCTGGAATCAAACCCATGTCCTCTTAGAAAGCAGCCAGTGCCTTACCCACTCAGCAAGCCGTCTCTCCAGCCTCCACCACGTGGATTTTTAAATTCAACTTTATAATGGGCATTTTTTTGCATTTTAATAAATCTCGAGCTTTTTGAGTAATTGTAATATTTACAGAAAAACCGAGGAAGCGGTGCAGAGACTCCCATACCCCGGAACTAGTTCCCAGTCTTACGACCATCTCACACGAGTGTGGCACATCTGCCACCATTGACGAACCAGTATCGGTGCATGCACCTAAGGTCCACACTTCACGTAGACTCCTTAGATTTTACCCAGAATGCCGCATTGCGCCACTGTCATGTCTCCCAGGGCACCTCTCGACCGTGACAGCATCTCGGTCCTTTCTTGTTTTTGTTGAACTTGGCAGTTTCAAAGAGTATCGGGCAAGAATGGTGTTTGATGGAATTTGCAGATGCCTCTTTTAAAATAATACATGGAGATGTCGAGCATGATGGTGGGTGCCTGTAATCCCAGCACTCAGTAGACTGAGGCAGGAGGATTGCTGGTTCCGGGCTAGCCTGATGTGTGTAGCAAGACCTTAACTCAGAAACACACTAAATTAACAATAAGAATAAAAGAAGATGATGATGTCTGTAGTTAAAAAAACAAGACAATGACCAGAAAACGGGTGTAGGCTGGTTTAATGAGGCCACCCTTGTCTCTTCATGGTCCTTCACTCCCAGCTCCAGCTCCAGCCACACCCCACCCTCCTGCTCCATCACCCCACCCCCACAGAGGCCCCTCCCGGAACACTTTAGTATCTGTGAGTCATAGCTTCCGCAGCTTCCTCTCTGCTACAAACTCTTGCCCAGCTCTCTCCCGAGGCTGAGGCTGCCGGCTGCTTCCCAGCTGTCTTCCCTGCTGACACTAAGGCAGTAGAGACGGCTCCAGCGAAGGGCCCGGGGCTCTCTCTTGCCCTGGCTGGCCCCTGGCTCGGCCGTCAGACTGCAAGGCTACAGACTCATGCCATGGCTAGCTCTGTGCTTGGCTGTGGGAGTTGAGAGTGGTGAGAATCCATCAGAGCTTCCAGCTTGCCTCGGCCTGTCCTCTGAAGACCCCGCATGCCCAGAGGGTGGTAGGATAGACCGGGTTCTAGGTCTGTGGATCAGGATATGACCTTTGCTTTGTCTGGGTATTCCCTCAACTTTCCCACCAGCTCTCCTCTGTGGCTGGGAGCCACACCACACCCCTGTACGGCTTCAGTCATCTCATGGCCGAGAAGAATGGTCTGGGTCAGATTTTCCTAAGGCCCACACTTGCAACATTCTGTGATTTAAAAATTCCTCACCTCAGCTATGCTTGGGAGCAGAGTGCAGAGTCAACGGAGCCCTTGCTCAGCTGCAGCTCCCAACAGTGTTAGCTCCAGGGGAGGGGCTCCTATATGGAGCTTCGGCAGTAAGGACTTCATGTCCTGTGAGGTGCAGTGGGGTCCTGGCCAGACCACTGCGTGCATGGTGAGCCCCAGGAGATGGCCCATGCTGCCTGTGACCTGAGAGCAGGTGGCCTAAAAGGCAGCTGGGCAATGAGTCAGGCTAGACCAGCACTGTCCCAACAGAGCACTTAGCAATGATGCACATGTCCAGCTGCACTGTCCAATATGGTAGCCACCAGTCACATGGCTGAGTGACACTCGAAACGTGAGGAATGCAACTGAGGAACTGAACTGGGTGTTTTTTGTTTTTTTGTTTTTGTTTTTTGTGAACTGAGGTCTCACTCCATAGCTTGGGCTGGCCTCGAACTCGAGGAACAATTCCTGCCTCAGTTTCCCATGTAATGGGATTATAGGCGTGCACCCGCATGGCTGGTGGAAGAAATGAAATCATAGGTTTTATTTAAATGCAGCCAAGTGTGACAGAGGGAGGGGATTGTGCTGCAGAGGGCGGGGCTTTGGGGTCCAGCCTCCTGTCCCCGTCTTTACTCTCTGTCATGGCATGGCCCTCACGTCAGAGCCAAGCAAGGCACACATGTCAGTAACCACCTGAGAACATCAGGGTAAGAGGGAGGATTTGGGTGCCCAATGGTTAGAGGCTAGCCCCTCGCTCTGTCACTTTGAACAGCTGGAGTGCTCTTCCATTAAATGGTTGTAACTGTGCAGATGAAGTGGAGTAACTCACAGAGACCTGCCTTGCAAGAGGCTGAGGCATGGTAAAGGTTTAATAAAATCTCTGGGGGCAGGGGGCCTGAGGGGAGGATGCTCGGATGAGGTTGCACTGTCCATCTCTCATGCCTGGACGGGGCCAGCCTTAGCACTTAGCATGGTGGCCATGGCGTCAGAGAGGGTTGTGACCAAGAAGGTAGTACAGGGGAGAGCTGGAGGTTCCCCTGCTCCAGCACATTGGAGTCGTGATTCCTGCTGCTTTCTTCCCAAACCAGAGACCCATTAGTGCCACACAGACTGGGCTCCTGTGCCACACGGCTAGGGCTCTGGTGCTTGCCTCCAATACTCTGGGAATGTCAGTCAGCAGTTTCCAACTACCCGTCTGTGAAATGGGAACTGTGAGGACATCTGAATCCTTTTCCTTTCCCCACACAATACAGCATCTTGAGACGCCTGACTGAGGTGTTCCTGAGACCAGAGTCTCTGGGGGTTCCTCCATCCCTCTGAAGATCAGTGGAAAACTGGCGGTAGTCCCCGTCAGGCCAACCTTCACTCAGGTGTTTCTCCTACATGGTGTTGTCTCAGCTGAGTTCCCTTCCATCCCTCCGGGTCCTACAGAAGGGGATGAAGGGAGGGGGTTGTTGCTGAAGAGCAGGGACCCGGGAGAAGCAAGGGCTCCTCTCTCCACCTCTCCCTTCTGAGGGTGTAGGAAGGAGGCAATGAACTGGAGAAGGGGGGTTGGGCTGCCTGATGGCAAGAGGCCTGGGGCGGAGGAGGATGGGAAAGCAGCCACTGTGCCTGGGTACCAGGAGAAAACAATCCTACACCTGTGACCGTGGGGACGGCCTAAGAGGGGCAGGGCTGCAGGCAACAAGGTAAAGGAAACCTGGAGCAGATATGCCCCATTATTCCAGGACAACTGAGGGGCTTTACAGGCTTCCCCGTGACCAGACAGACTCCAGGTGAGGAAAGCCCTGGAGCAGATAGATATGTCCCATTATTCCAGGACAACTGAGGAAGGAAGGGGCTTTGCAGGCTTCCCGTGACCAGACAGACTCCAGGTGAGGAAAGCCCTGGAGCAGATAGATATGCCCCATTATTCCAGGACAACTGAGGAAGGAAGGGGCTTTGCAGGCTTCCTGAGACCAGACAGACTCCAGGTGAGGAAAGCCCTGCAGCCTCGTTTCCCTCCTCTCTGCAGGGCCTTCCCTCAGCAGGAGAGAGAAAGACTGGAATGAACTGGGGTGGGGTGGGGTCTTTGGCACAAGAGCCTGGAGGCCTTTTGTTGACGAGGAGGGGTTGGGCGGAGTGCATGCTTCCACCCTCCCCACGGTTAATGGAAATGATGATGGCACATGGGTTGGGAACTCCCATTTGGGGACGCCTTTCCTGGCCTGCTGCCAGGCTGTGGAATGAGTAACGGGAGGGAGGCCCAGAGTGACTTGTCCTCACCATGTCACAGGCCTGGCTCTGGGCTGGGGGTTTCCTCCAAAGCAGTGGTTCTCTATCAGATATGCTGCGTATCAGATACTCACATTACAACTTCGAACGGTAGCAACATTACATTTATGAATTAAAAGTGAAGTAATTCTACGGTTGGGGGTCACCACAATATGAGGAACTGAACGAAAGGGCCGCAGTGCTAGGAAGGTGAGAACCACTGCTCTAGAGAAACCCACAAGCCATCTCCAGAGGGCGCTTGAGTCGAGTCATTGGTCCTTGGCATCTCTCTTGAAGCTGAGACCTGCAGCTCTCTGAGAACTGAGGTCCCCTCCCTCTCTGGGCTGCCTTCCTCACAGGTGAGCTGGTGACTGAAGGCGGAAGTGTAGCTAGGAGCTGCTTCCTCAATCTTTATCGTTTATCCAGCTGTGGGCAAACAAGGGAGCCACTGCAGGAATGAGCCACAAAACCAGCAGGACTGGAAGCAGGCTCGCTCCTGGGTGCCGTGCTTGACATCGGGGCAGAGAATTCCCCATGGTTGGGGGTTCTTGCACACCCGGCAGCATCCTGGCCTCTACCCATCATGTGCCATAAGCACCCCCTCCCTTGGGTTAATAAAAAAATGTTGTGAGCACTGAGAATGTTCCCAGTGTGGGGAGGATGGAAAGTGCCTCAGTTGGAGTCCCCAGCAGAGGAGCGAAGGGGGAGCTGTGGAAGCCTAAAGCACCACGGGTCACCAGGCCACAGAATACCACATTGGAAATCTGGAAGTGGCGGCAAGAGGATCCCGGATGGGTGGCAGTGATCTGTGGTGACTGCCAAAGACATCTCCAACACCTGCAGCATTGCAGCAGCTTAACCCCGGAAGATTAGGGATCCAGCAACACCGCAGCCAGGGCCAGCTTACAGGGACGTTCAGCAGTGTTGGAATATTTGAGCATGTGGGAGGCCAGCACCAGGCTTCCCGCCAGCACTGGGAGGAGCCTGGCAAAGGAGGCGGCGGGGAGGACTCTGAGTCTCTGTCAGGCCTATCCATGTGCTCCTCAGTTTCTCACCTCTGGGTCCATTCTGACCACTCATCCGAAGTGTGTGGGAACACAGCTGAGGTCCAGGGTGCCCTGTAGCCTGCAGAGTGGCTGGTTATCCAGGGCATCCCGGCAGTGGACAACCCCTAGAGACTCCGTCAACCAGTGCAGCTAAATTCAAGTGCTGCAGTGTGCCCGGAGGCGCTGACAAGCGGGGACAGGTTGGTGTCCGAATGTGACGGGAAGGAGCCTCCGTCTCAGGCCCAGGCGCCAGTTCAGATTCCAGACCTGCTCTGGGGGTCTGACCCCATCTCCCCATGCTTGGCCTCTCACTGACCTTTCTAGCCTGGGCTGTGCCTGTCCCCCACGCCTTTGGCTCGTCCCTCTCCCTGAAAGTGCTCCCCCCTCAGTGCCAGCTCTGCTAAGCCTCACCCAGGCAGGGGCTTGGCATCATCATTGGGATCCAGTATCCATGGCTGCCCTTTCTGGCTGTGAGTCAGCTGCCCAGGTGCCTCGGCACAGCCTAAGACTAGAATGGAGGCAGAAGAGGGCGATGCCACCCTCCTGCTTGGGTGCATGTGACGGAAGACAGACGGAAGAAACACAAGACAGTTAAGCGAGGAAAGTGACCATGGAAGCCAGTGAGAGGCACTGAGGCCAGGGGAGGGCTCCCGGGAGGGGTGCGGATGGCTGGGCTGCGTCCTGTCTCTCTCTTCCCAGCTCAAGCACCGCCTTGGCCCGTGTTCGAAGTTTATGAACGATGGGTATCTTCCTTCCCTGGCCTTGTAAGTCACGCACACCCGTGGCAGGGCTCAGCTGAAGCAGTGGGTGGCCAGACTCTATCCACGGGCGATTTCCCCTGGGTGTGGCAAAGCTGTGCAGAGCCCAGCATGCCCTGGGTCCCCTGGATACTTTCCCACTCTGCTTCCCTTTCCTGTTTGGGAAGGAAAGATGTTGATGGCTGAAGGGAATGGAGGAGAAAACACCTCATCTCCCCCATTGGTAACTCCTACGGCAGCTGCGAACATGAGTAACCCAGCCACAGGCATTTCCCCACGGTGATGCAGGTGACCCTCGCCTGGACATGGGGCTGCCACACAGGGCACAGACACCAGGAGCACAGCTCTGGAAATTCACTACATGGCCCTGAGTGAATTTATCTTTCCAGAAGAGGGCCTGGAGCTTAAAGGAACCATTCATAAGGCCTGCCCTAAGGGAGGGTCGGCACAGCCTGTACCAACAGGGACCTGTCCTACAGGCTAGGGTGCTCAGGGAAGGACATGAGTTCGAGGGGGTGCTCATAGCAGCCTGAGCAACCAAACAATGAGCCTTTTCATCCAGGTAGACTAAGTGAGTCCCCAGGACTGAGGCCAAGGGACAGAAAAACCCAAACTCCAGCTTGAACTGCCTTTGGCCAAGCAAATTAAAGCAGAGAGAGAAAGTCTGAATTCGGAGAGCCTTAGGCCCATGTATAGAAGTGACTTAAAGGTCTCCTCTCCTCAGGTACCCCAGGCCAGAGAGATCACTGGGTAAATCAAGAGGTGCACGCTGGTCTACCTAAGCGGTTGGCTGTGGGGACCCCGCAGTGAGGACGTTGGGGAGGAAACTCATAGCACAGTCGTGGTCTCGGGAAGGAGGAAGAGGCTGGCTCCTGAGAGCCTTGCAGCCTTGTGTTCTGGCAGGGGACCAAGCAGACAGAAAAGGGACCCCAGGGGACCCAGCAAAGAAGAGACCCCAGGGGACCAAGCAGAGAAGGAACCCCAAAAGGGTCCATGGCTCTCAGGTTCAACTCTAGAAGGAGTGAAGAGGAACTCAGTTTCCCCTGAAAAAATGGTGCTGACTTTGACCTCCAAGTTGACCTTGACCTCAGTGCTGACCTTGACCTCCACACTGACCTTGACCTCCAAGTTGACCTTGACCTCAGTGCTGACCTTGACCTTTACCTTGGTGATACTTTCTGCTTGTTTGGACACCTTCACTTCCTGCAGCTTCGGAAGCACTTCCAAAGTCCCAAAGTTCCAAAGTGCAGAGCTCAGCACTCCTCTCTCCCCTCCCTTCTCACCCCCACTTCAGTCACAATCCCTCTCCCTCCTCCCACCCCCTTCTGCCTGCTTCATACCTTCCAGAACAAAATTGCCAAAGGTGGCTAAGGCTTGCACATGAGGGAAACAAAGTTCACCCAGTGTCAAGTGGCGGCTTCAGGACCCAGATCTTGGTTTCTGGCCACAGCTGTATGTCTCCATGTGCCTCCGGTGGGCCTCCTAGGTTACATCTGAGGTCTTTATCATCCGAGCTGCCTCTCTGCCGTGACTGTCCAAGACCCGCAGGCCACAGGCTCACCGGGCAGCCGTCATGTCCCGTTTGCTCCTGTTAGCAGGCACTAGGACAATGTAAGAGGGATGGGTCACACCCAGGGGAGGAAAATCCACAGGAAGTGAGAGCCTGGGTCAAGGAACTACGTGAGCCACAGCCACAGGGGAGAGAGAGGAAAGAGCCTAGAGTGCCGAGCCTTGAGAGGGTGGTGTGGAGGGTTCTGGTGTCTTCTGGTGCTGACAAACAGGTATGTGAAACATTCCAGAGAGTGAAAAACTAGAAAAGGAACCAGGTAGGCCGAGTCTCTGACGGAAGAGCCATGCCCTCTGCTTACAGCAAAACACCCTGGAGGAACCAGGCAGAAGGCAGGATTTCTCAGTGCCTCCCCAAGCAAAAGACAAAGAGGCTGGCTGTGAGGCCCCACCCACTCCCCTACCCCGGTGACTCCTCCCACCTTCCTCAGACTGTCAGTCATTTTACCTCAGAGTTTTGTAGTCCAAAGCGTCCACTGTGTTGGTACACGTAGCCCAAGTCTGGTCTTTCTATGTGGAGGAGAGTAACAGTCTTTTATCACAGAAACAAAGCCCAGTGGGAGTGGAGGCTGTGTTGGAGGACACAGTGGCCCCTGCAGCTTGGGCTGTGCAGTTTTAGTGTCTTCCCAGATGGTGTTTGACCGGCCGATGCGGGGCAGCCTGGGTGACAGACTGGCATTCTGTGGACAGTGGTTACAGGCTGCTCAGTGACCTCTGACATGTTCGGCAGCTGCCAGCCCCCACCCTTGGGAGGCATAGCTTGGGGACTCTCACAAGTGATGAGTGCTACAGTGACCCCTGTCTGAGCCTTGTCCCTGCTCATGTCCAGGGTGCAGCATGTCACAGTTGTACAGTGGCCAAGGCAGAATTTATTTATATTTACATGCGCCTCTCCTCATTCCCAGCGAGCACAGACAACAGTGTAAATATAGACAGTATGTAGCAGGACGGCCTTTAAAGGAAAACAAGCAACTATAAAGAAAATAGGGTCAGACAGATTACAGACACCTGTAATCTCTGCATTTGGTGTGGGGGGGCTGAGGCAGGAGGATTGCTGTGAATTTGAGGCCAGCTTAGGCTATTAGTGAGTTCCAGGCTAGCCTGAGCTGCAGACTTACAGATTGAGAACCTGTCTTAATAGAAAAAAAGACAGAGATCAGAAGGAAGAAAGCACCCAACCCAGGAGGAAAAGCATGGGCTCTGCCAAAGGCTCTCAGGCTGCAGCAGATGGGTGGATAGCTTTGTGGGGCTCACCCTACAGACCTGTGCGGAGGGTCGCTGGGCTCCCTGGCCAGCAGCCTAAGCAGTGCAGTGAGAAACCCTGTCTCAAAATGCAGAGTGGAGGGACCCGAGGAACAGCTCCTGAGGACGGACTTCACACACACACAAAGCTTCCTGCTCTCGTGAATGCACACAACACACACACAAACACACATACACCACAATCACACACACACACACACACACACACACACGCACGCACTCACGCAGAGCCTCCTGCTCTTGTGTGTATGCATTCACATGAGCACACATAGGCTCTGACAGCCTCCTGTTCGTATGTATGCACACCTGAACACGCACACACATCAGGTTTTCCTTTTTCTGTCAACTGTGTTTTCATTTTTCTAATGAACTTGGCCTTATGCTCTCCATTTGCTTTGCAGAAATGAGACCTTTGATCTAGGTCTGAATAAGATTTATTTTTCACGTTTTCATTAGTTTACTTTTTGTGACTTTCACCATGTAATTCCTGTATTTTGACATAGCTAAATTTATTATTTTAGACTTAAGTATTGTTAACTTAGGATTTTAAAGTGTCATGGCTTCTGTATTACAATTAGATAACCAATCTCCTCTCTAAGATTGTAACAGAATTCTCCCACTTTCTCTTCTAGAATTATTCATAGATTCACATACATACTATATTAAGTAGTTCCATGATATAAACATTAAAATATACAAATGCGTTAATAAGAGAACAAATTATACAAATGGATAGTTTACCATAGTTATGAATATATATGTGTAAATATACATTTAAGCTTCATAATGACTGTTTATATATGAATATTGACCATTTATCATTTATTTTGGTTTTTAAAGTACTTACCTGTGGGGGGCACTCGAGTGTGGAGGTCAGAGGACAGCTTGTGGGAGTCGGTTCTCTCCGTCCTCCGTGTGGGTTCTGGGGATCAAACCCAGGTCTTAGGGAGAAAGGTCTTTGCCTGCAGAGTCATCTCACAGCCCTGTTCTTTGGCTCTGTTTTCAGAGATTTTAACCATGGTCTCTGTCACTTAGCTCTGTTGCTTAGGGGGATTTGAGGCGGAAGGCAGCGTGGCAGGAGCATGTGGGAGGCAGGAGTCCAGGGGCTGGGGAGCTCTTCTGCCTAGGTTCCCAGCACTAAATTACAAGGTGTGCCTTTACTCCAGGCCTCCTTTAGAGACTGTTTTCCGGCGGTGCCTCACACTTAATGATCCTTATAAACCTGGGTGTCAACTGGATCCCAATGTTTATGTTTTTATTGGGACCATATTGTTTATAGGGCAATTTAAGAGGAAAAGACATTTTTATGGTAATGAATCTTTATAACTGATAATATGGGCTTCTTTTAAAATTAGGACAGATGATGGTCTCCGCCCCACAGGCAGGCTCCTCCTGTACATCTTTGGAGTTGTTAGTAAAAACCAACAGTTGCCCATTGCTCTTCTCTGGATCCTGACCTGCAGGGCCATTGCCAGAATTCTAAAGTCCTGTACCATGTCACCACAAGGGAGCCACCATCAGATGAACCAGGGAAAACATGACCTGGTTTCTGGTCTCCAAGTCCCCCATTGGCTAAACCATACCAGCAGCCATTGCCCCTGGGTCTACTGGTCAGGGGGCTCCTAAGCAGAGAACAGGTTGGAGGGTATAAACTAAATACAGAGGCAGGCAGAGGGTATTGACCAGGGGCTCAGCCTCTGCCCACCATACTCTGGCTCCAGAGACAAGTGTTTCTGTGCTGAGATAAAGGGAGTAATTTGGGAACCCAAAAATAGTCCTCAGGAAATGAAGCATAAACATGCTTTGTACCTGTGGAACAACAGTGACTTCCAGGAGAGGAAGACTGGAGTTTGGGTCACTCAAGGAATACTGCGAAGAGACGGCCCTTCCCCCAGGAGTGGGCCAAGCTCTGAGGCCACCTCACCCTTCCTCCCCCCAGTTTCTTCCCGTAACAACTGAAGAGCAGATCCCCATGAGGATCACTGTGCTCAAGTCTCAGGTCTCTTACAGGTGCAGGTTAAAACCTACATATTTTTTTCTCACGCTCCAGCCTTGTGGCCACATTCCAGGGGCCTCCACCCCTGGTCCCTAAAGGCATCCTTTAGGGTGTTCCTGGAGCTAAAACAGATTAGTCATATGCCCCTTTGTAGCCTTTGAGTTAATCTGGTCATCAGACCCCTCCCAAACTAGCCAGCTGGCTTATTACCTACACAGGTTGTAACTGCACCAAGCAAGTTTTCCTGAGAAGGAGCCCCAGGGACATCTCCAACTAGGGCACCTGTCAGTCATTGGGATTATCCAGAAGGGTCGTGTTTCCATAAAATGTTTTGCAGAAGGTGGATTCTGAGCTTGGTGAGGAAAATCAAGAGTGGGTGGGACCAAAGGAGGAGGTCTCTCTTGATAAAACTGCATGACTGCTGCCCTGAGGACCAACTTTCCCACAAAGTTACAGGTGGAATGGGTAGACCACAGAGACATACTCGGGTCACCTCTCAAGGACTAAAGTCCCAGGCACTGCTCTTTGAACTGGGTGACTCCGGAAGTGACACCAGCCTGTTTGCAAAGCCGAGCATGAAAGAGATGAAATGAGCAGGCATCGGTGGCGGGTGTTCACTGGCTGGGACCTGTGAGTGAGCCACTGCGCCCACTGAAACCCGTTTCAGCAGTGAAATAGGACACGGGTATTTCCCTGCACTGTGTAATGGCCGTGAAAGGACACTGTGAAAACATATGCAAATACGTAGACGGGCCTGGCACTTGGTAGCCTTTGGGCATGTCAGCTGAACTGTCATTGCGTAAAGACTGATGCCAGGAAAGCAAATATGAATCAGTATTTTTTAAAAAATTGGGACTTGGAGCTTCCCAACGTATTTAAAATATTCTGCTGCAGGGGATGAGGGAGGAAGAAGGAAACCAATATGAGATGGGGTTTCAAGTGTTTCCACTCTATTAGGAACCAACATAGTTTCCTCCCGGCCTCTAAAGTTCCCTCACTGGACTTCAGAATTTGAAAAAATAAATGTGTGACTGTAAGATTTAGTGTGGCTGTAAGGTTTATATGACTTGAGCAGGGTGTGGTGGGGCACATCTGTAACCCCACCATGTAGGAGTGTGGAGCTGGAGAACTTTGAGTTCTTGGCTAGCCTATGCTGCACAGTGAGCATAGGCTAGCCAAGAACTCAAAGTTGTTTCAACAAACCTAAAATGCACATCATATGGTTTTTCTTGCCTTGGCTATGACCTTAGTGTCATTTTCTTGTCTTTGTAGTGATAACCTTTCATGTTGTCCTGATGAATTACCTTGCACTGAAGAGATAGGTTTTAATATTTCATAAATGTGGTGGTTTACATAGCAATGGCAACATGAGCTCATGTATTTAAATGCTCAGTTACTAGTGAGCAACACTATTTGAAAGGATTATAAAGGTTAGGAGGTATGGCCTTGTTGGAGGAAGTGCATCACTGGAGGGGTGGGCTTCGGGGTTTCAGAAGCCCAAGACAGCCCCCCCCCTCTCTCTCTCCCTCCCTCTCTCTCCCTCCCTCCCTCTCTCTCTCCCTCCCTCCCTCCCTCCCTCCCTCTCTCTCTCTCTCTGTCTCTCTGAGTCTACAGACGGGATGTAGCTCTCAGGTCCTGCTTCAGTGCCATGCCTGCCCCCATGCTCTCTGCCATGGTGATAATGGACTAAGCCATGATCCCTGCCATGGTGATAATGGACTAAGCCATGCTCTCTGCCATGGTGATAATGGACTAAGCCATGCTCTCTGCCATGGTGATAATGGACTAAGCCATGATCCCTGCCATGGTGGCAATGGACTAAGCCATGATCCCTGCCATGGTGATAATGGACTAAGCCATGCTCTCTGCCATGGTGATAATGGACTAAGCCATGATCTCTGCCATGGTGATAATGGACTAAGCCATGATCCCTGCCATGGTGGCAATGGACTAAGCCATGATCCCT